ACATATAAACCAGGTTAACTATTCTAAACACCGCCTCTCCACCCATGCAACAGATGATACATCACATTAAATCGCTGACTGAGGTCTTCATATTTTTAAGTGCCATATGATTGTGATTTGAGATAGACAGAATGAACTGAACTAGGACCTCTGCTTTTAGCCAATTGGCTCACTTTTTTCCCCTCAACGCTTTTAGGTCTGAACTTGATCTTATCTCCCACTCGGGCTGTCTCACCTAACCTCACACTGCACCCCACCCCACCTCCTCTCTCACCCAGCCACTTTTACTTAGCTTGCCACTCTGTGTCAATCTCCCACTGATGTGGTTTATTTGTAGTGCTTATTTGATGCAACACATCTCACAAAATATTCACCGGCGAATCGGTAAAACCTGACAGCGTGGAGAAGTTGTTTTAATCTGCAATGTCGCTTCTCTTTGTCCTGGGAAGAAAGTAGATTTAGAAAAAAGGAAATGTTGGTTAACCACCAGTGGTTTAACGCAATAAGCCAGTGGGTTATCTCACACCTTGAGGGTTATCTTGACGTTGCACACCAGGAAGAAATCTTGGCATCTATGTATCTATGTTTAGGCATCTATGAAATGTATTTTCACTTTAAAACAAATTTAAAAGAAAAACATTTTGAGGGATAATAAAATAAGCGCTATGTGCCCTTCTAAACTGATTAGGTTACTAAACAATAATGAAGCATTCCTAGAGCATTTTTATTGGCAAAGAATGAAAAAGCATGAAATTACTGTTATTAGGAGTTTTTCCACCCTGGTTCCCCCAGTAGGCAGATGGATGCCTGCAGCAAAGACACCCGTCAGCTACAAGTCAGGAAGTCTGTGAGTTCTGGCAGCCCTGGAGCAGGGATGCTGCAACAGGCATTGGAGGGAGAGAGGAGCAGCAACAGGAGGAGCAGCAGCAGAAGCACTGCTGAATCCATTAACAATGAAGGAGCTGCTCAAATGGGCTCTGGTCCTGTGTTTGCAAAACAAATGTGACATGTGAGGGTTAGGCCGGGGAAGAAATTAATCTGTGAAGCAATCAACGGTGAGTTCAGAGGAGGAGACCGAACCATGTGTGTGAAACACATGCTGCATCTCAAAACGGTAAACCTGTGTGTAGATAAGAAAGCTTTAATCAGCCCAGCTGTGTGGCTGTTGCATGTTTTTTGTATGCTATATGCACGTGTGTGTGTGTGTGTGTGTGTGTAGGCTAAATCCTTCCCCACCTAGAAGCTGTCAAAACCACATGCTTACAAGCTGTGCAGGTTACATCTAATTGGATTCTGTGGACATCACAGCATGAGGCAATATTTGATGACTCCAAGATCATATTGTAGGAAACAGTGCATGTCCTGAGTAAAAACAGCCTCCAAAGTCAATACCGACCCCTCCCC